GGTGTAGTGCCTAAGGCATTTGACTGCTAACCAGAAGGCTGGCAGTTCAAACTCACTAGCCACTCTGCAGAAGGAAGACTAGGCAATCTGCTTCTGTAAAGATTTACCATGTCGGAAACCCAAAGAGAGTCACAGTGAGTCGGGATTGACTCAGTGGCAGTGAGCTTGGTTTTGGTTTGGGAAGAGTATAATTATTGAGTCATAGGAAAACTCTAGAGGAAACTCTGGTGGTACAGTGGCTAAAGCATTTGGTTGCTAATAAAACGATTGTGCTTTGAACCCAGCAGCCACTCCCCAGGAGAAAGATGAGGCCGTCCACTTCTGTAAAGATTGACAGCCTTGGAAACCCTTTGGGGCAGTTCTACTCTGTCCTATAGGGGTGCTGTGAGTTGGCATTGACCAGTTGGCAATGGGTTGGGTTTGGTGTGGTAACTCTATGCTTAACATTTTGAGCAACTACCAAACTGTGTTCCAGAGTGACTGTGCTATTTTATAATCCCACCAGCTTCTAATTTCTCCCTGTCCTTGCCAACACTTGTTATTTTCCTTTTTTTTTTTTCCAATTACAGCCATCTTTGCAGACACGGAGCTGTTCGTTGTGGTTTTGATTTGTCTTTCCCTGATGACCAATGAAGTTGAACATCTTTTCATGTACTTCTTGGCCATTCATGTACATCTTTAGAGAAATATCTATCCAAATATTTTGTCCACTTTTAAATTTAAGATGTTGGCCTTTTTATTGCTGGATTGTGAGAGTTCTTTATATATTCCAGACACAAGTTGCTCATTAAATATATATTTTGAAAATATTTTCTCCCATCCCATGGGCTGGCTTTTCATTTTCTTAATAATGTCCTTGGAAACACAAAGCTTTTAATTTTGATGAAGACCAGTGTGGTGGTTATGTTTTTGCATCAGCTTGGCTGGGCTTGGTTGAGTGGCTGGGCAGCTGGTGGTAGTTATTGCCCATGATGAGACTGGTAATCAACTCCATGGTGGGATCTACCACAAGCAGCTGAGTAGCTGCCTTTGGGATGTGGTCTGCTTCCTGTATATAAGGAGAAGTCTTGGGAATGGTCTCTAGTTTATGGCACGCTTGGACTTTGCATGTAGCTGTGTCATTGTTCAGCAGCCTGCTATGCTCTGCCGACCTTGGGACTTAAATGGACTTAAGTTAATGGCCTGCCATGTGGTTTGGTAATATTGGGACTGTGCCTTTTTACTTGTCAACCTTGGGGCTTCTCAGCCTCAGCAGCTGTCTGAGTGAAGAAACACCTCTAGCTCCAGTGGTCCGGGAGCAGAAGGCAGAGCTGGACGCCAAGGTTGAGTGGCTTTCACCCAGCCCCTAGAGCCTGGCACTTTGAACTTGGACTTAAAGCCTCCGAATTGTAAGAATAAACTCTTAAGGCCATGCCATTTGTGGTATGTTCTTGTCAGAGCGGCACTAGGGAACCAGAACAACCAGTTTATCTATTTTCTCCCTTGTGGGTCATGCGTCTGGTGTTATTATCTAAGAAACCGCTGCCTAACCCAAAGTCACTAAGATTTACACGTTTTTTTTTCCCTAAGAGTTCTATAGTCTTAGCTCTTACATTTAGGCTTATCACCAGTTGCTCTGCAAGTTGCTCTGCAGGAGGAAGATGAGTCAATCTACTTGTCCCAGAACCATTTGTTGAAGATTTTCTCCACCCCTCCCCCATTTAATCGTCTGGCACTCCTATCAAAAATCAGTTGACCATAACGTAAGGGTTTATCTCTGAACTCTCAATTCCATTCCATTGTCGGACATATTTTTAAAGGGCTATTTCTCTCAAACTGTTGTCATTATTGACCCATCCTTCCCTGGAAGACAGATGGAGAGATGGCGAGATCTTCGAGCAGATAGCATTCCCTTGGGCGAGTCAGGTGAGTGACGACAGAGACCCTCTGAAAAGGCTTGGTTTCTGGCTCTTTGCACTGGCCTCGTCATAATTCCCTCTTGCTGTAGGATGTGGAATCCCTCTCCATTGTTTTTCTGGCAGCTGAGGAGGGAGTTGACTGACCAGAGGACCTTATCTCTTTCCTACCACTCAAGGTTACTGTGAATTTCGAATCAGATCCTTTACATGAAATCATTTAGAAAGGCCCAAAGTGCTCTACAAATGTAAGGTGAACTCTTCCTATTATCATCCCTCAGCATCATGAGTAGAGCCAATGGTAGACTTCAAGGCTTCCTGGCCAGGGCACCTCATGCACAGCCACCCATCCGTCAGTGGAGGCTGCAGGCTGCTAGGATGCTGGGCAGGTTTCAGCAGAGCTTCCAGACTAAGACAGAGCAGGAAGAAATGCCTGGTGATCCACTTCTGCAGATCAGCCAGTGAAACCCTGTGGGTCACAATGGCCTGGACTGCAGTCCATCATGGGGATGGCACAGGCCCCCGCAGTGCTTCCTTCCACTGGGCATGGGGTTGCCCTGAATTGGGGCCAACCAACAGCTGCAAATAACAACTCTCATGAGTAGGATTCTACACACACAATTTATTAGTGGCTTTTACTCACTGGGATCGAGGTTGCAGTATCTACATTATTGCCAATTCCAGAATAGTGAGGTTTGGCTCTCTGCGTTATTCTGGCAGGGGCTGTGAGTGTTGGTCAGTGCTTGCTTCCACTTTCCTCCTTGAATGGGGATCTACTTTGTGTCAGGCACTGTGCTAAGCTCAGGGAATAGTGGAGAATGAGGCAGATGCTGTCTCTGCCCTGCTGGAGCTTACAGTTCAGCGGAGGAGGCTGTCCAACTCAACAAGCCATTATAATAAAATGTGAGCATGGAGGAGGGGAAGGGGGCCAGTTTGTTCAATGTCATCAGGTGGCTAGATTCTCTCTCCAGCCCCATCTAGCCTTTTGGTTTCATGATTTTTCAGTGAGGCTAAGGCTGTTCAAAGCTGAACCCAGACCCCACACTTTTAGGCTGGAGAAAGAACCCACGGCATAGGACGCCTGTTCTAACACCCTCCTAGTTATGGTTCCTTGGGCTGAAAACCCACCTGCATCCCGCCTTCCCTGTCCCCTGCTGAATTTCGTTGCTGACAGTGAAGACCTCTCTCTCTCCCGCTCTACCGCTCCTCCCAGGCCTGCTGGGTCACAGCCTGGGAGGCATTCTCAAAAATCCCCTCCCCTTGCCAAGCCTCCTTAGGAATTTGGAGGGAGTGGAGGGGCCCCCCAATGGAGAGACTCATCTTCCCAGAAGGCATTACTCATTCCCTCCCACCCTAAAGCCTGGACAACAAGCTATTAGGCCCACTTGAGAGCCAGCTGGCTCTGAGGAGGGGAGCCCAGGCCCACTGCATCCCCTCAGTCAGCCTCAGCTGCACCTGTGCCCCTCTGTCCACGGGCTCTCTAAGCCCAGCCGGTGAGGGAGAAGAACAGGCAGGATGGAGGTGGGAGAAGCCAGCTCCCCTCTCATCCCTCCTCTCTCCCTCCCAGTGTTTAATGACAACACTGACACCGCTGGGGCTGGCTGCCACCTTCCACTTCTCCCCACTCTCCTCCTCACCTCTACCCCCATGCGCCTCCATACACCTCTCCTGAGGCACCATGGCATCTGACACCTCAGCAGGCTCTCAGGGGCACACACCCATTCAGCACCTGCCCCTCAGACCTCCTGATGTTATCTCACATGCAGATACCCAGCGGCCCAATCGGTCCCTAAGGCCCCCCACAGCTGGCAGCCGAGTGGGCTGGGGTCTCCTCAGGTCAGCTGGCACTGACTAGGACCGTGCTCTCCCTGCCCAGCCTTCCTATCTCCCATCATTCCCGCTCCCACGCCCATTTTGGAGGTTATCTGCTAGAAGGAAGGGTCTTCTCACCTTTGGGGGACAGGCTCAGTGGTGTGAGGAGCTGAGGGGTCCACTCAGCTTCCACAGCCGCCCGGTGCATCCAGAGGACACCACGGTGTCATGCCCCTCCCTCTTGCGAGACCGGAAAGAACTGGCTGGGGAGAGGGTGTGTGTGGAGTCCTGAAGTGACTTGGAGCAAACCACTCAACCTGTCTAGATCTTAATGTCACCTCTGAAACGAGGGGGTGTTCTAACCTCTAGGGCTTTTTGTAGCTCTCAAATTCTGCAAGTCTGAGTGTCTGTAACTCTGTCGGGACAAGGTGCGATTCTTTCCACGACTGACAGCTCGTGTCCCCACGTGGGAGGAGGTCGGATGTGCCAGCTATCGGTGCCTCGCCCGCCCCAACCAGAGCAGCCCCTCCATTCGTTCCCCCTTTCCTGGCAGCGCCCTCCCCCTCGCCCCACCACCACCCCGCAAGTCCCCAGGTGACTGCGCTGTTCTGGGCCGTGGCAGCCCCTCTCCAAGGCGCCAGCCCTGAAGCCTCGAGTACCCAGCGCGCGCGCAGGCCACGCCCACCCGGACAGCCCGGTGAGGAGCGGGACCTGGGAACGGAGCGATCATTAACCCTCTCCCTGCCGGACCCGCAGCGGCGGCTCCCACTCCCCAGCACCACCACCCCCCGTCCTTCTGGAGCCCACGGTGGCCTGGGAGGGGAGGCGCGGAAGAGGGAGAGCCAGAGCCCCGTGGGCTCTGATGCCAGGCAGCTCTCCGCGTGGCTTCCTCGGTGAGAGCCTGCCCTAAGCTCCAGCCCGCAGCCCAGGGCGCATCTCCCCGGGCCGCGCGGCCCCTCCTCGGGACGGCGCCCTTGCCCGGGGCGGGCCAGGAAGCCGAGGTCCCCGCCCCGCTCCGTTAGGCCGCGCTGCCCCCGGGACTTTGGAGCCGAGA